CCGTTCTTGACACGACGTTCTCATTTCACATGCAAGCAGGTTAGCCAGTCATAACTGATGTCATTTACATGTAGAAGTCTTGAAAGTACACCAGCAAAAGCAGTCTGTGTAATTGTAAGGGTCAGAAAGGGCAGACAATGATAATGAAAACTAAATTGTAACATTTTTGCATAATCTGCATTAAAAATACAGTAAGTGCTTCACAGCATTATAATGTACATTATGAAAGACATCTACAAAAAATGATGCTAAAGTGCTAGATGAAGGCAAGGTGACCTGAATGTTAATACTGGTGGATAAGCATGCACAATTAAATATCCAATATCTGCTGATATAGGCCTATATGCACAATACTTACTGATACTGATAAATAAAAAAAAATCACCAATATTAGCTGATTAATTATATGGCACCAATATATATTGCATACCTAAATCTCAGCATCCCCTGAGCCTCACAAACTTTTCACACAAATTGAGTTCTTCCTCCTCGTAACCCTGTAAACATGACTGTCAGTCAGATTGGAGCTTGTAAGCTTTTGCCACTTTTCGAGACGGTCCACGAGTGTGCTTCGTGCTCGTCTCATTAGAGTTTCACATCTGAAACTTAAATGATTAAACCTGCCCGCTCATAATTAGTTTTATTTCAGCCAGTCATGGTGTGTTTATGGAGCATTAGTATGCGCTTTGAACACTTTGAATTATTGATTCCAGTTGAAATCATACTGAGGTGATGGATTTCTCACAGGAGATCTTTGAATTACTGCCTAGAGCCAGGCATGTTTGAAAGAATCTCCGTCATTATTCCACAGCCGTTATTATCATAAACCACCTCAAGACAGCGAGTCTTATTGCATTCAAAAGTGGAATCTTATTTGGCCATTTCGCCAATAAACTCAAATATTACCATGCATACTGTATACATGCCCCAGAGGCAGTGCTGCATTGTTGTTTGCTAAGGTGTGATTTGGAGAGCTCATCTACAGCTCGTGCTGGTAATATTCAGGTTGTCATCCAGGATGGCCTGTGTTCTGTGTGCAGACGTGAGTGAGTCCGGTGGGCAGCTTGCATTGGCTGTTTGAAATAGAAATGAATCGATCTCAACATTGGCTCACTTCAGAATGGGAGGAGCAGCTCCTCTCCCCTTCTCTCTCTCTCTCTCTCTCTCTCTGTGTGTCTCTCCCTGACTCTACCAGTCACTGACGTGTTGCTTCCAGGGAAACTATCGCTCTGTATCCAAACACTCCGGCGAGCGATGCGGGAGAGAGCAGCGCCGCTCGTGTGTTGAAGGCAGGGACATTTGTGCGCCGTTCTGCGTTGCTCGTCTGTCCGCTTTCACGCTTCTCCTTTCGCCGCCTCACACATCCCACCGGATCAAGCTCGCTCTCCTCTCTGGCGCCGTGTGCGTGCGAAAGGGCTTTAATCGGAGGAGATGATCGGGGTAAACAGTGTTCAGGGGACCGGGAAGGTCCGCATGCGGGCTGGCGGCTCCGTCAAGTACAGCAGGGAGGAGCCAGTCAGGCGTCAGCCCCAGCACCGCTCCAAGTCTCTCAAAGTGTCCAGTTCTGCTGAATTCAACACTGGACTGCCCAAAAAGGAGAAGGTAACGAGCCTGACATTTGCTGTGGTGTTTGTGTGCCTGGAATGGAGGTGATTTTTCTCTGGCATTGTGATGTTGTTGGACTCGTTGTGGGATCTTTAGATCTCATTGCTGACATGATCTCGCATGCAGACTAAAGCTCTTCGTGTAACCCTGTTATTAAGTGCCTGCAGCACCGGGCGCAATACTCGCACTCAACAAAATGCTGCATTTCCCTGTGGATGAGACGTGTCCGTGTCCTTAAATTGGATTTATGTCTTTACCTGGCAGGCTTCTTTTAAGTGATGGATGGTTTAAATACAGCTTTTTTGCTGTTTGCTCCAGTTATTGAATGAAATGCATGCTGTTATTGTGACGGCATTAACGTGTCACCTTGACCCGGGTTAACAGAGTCTGTCTGTTTTAATGGCCACTGTGTTTGATTTATGATTCACAGACAGCATTGTAGCCTCTCCAGTGTAACTCACTCCCTCTTGCACACCCGTGTGTTTTCTGTTGTGCCGTAAACACGTCGGTGTAATGTGTCTGTGTCCAGCGGGCGGCATCCACTGACACACATCTCATGTGAGAGGAACATGGCTTTGTGTTTGGACACCTATGAACATTGACACCTTTCAATTTGAGTCAACTAAAATTGGAAAATTCCTGCACACATATGCAGTAAACGACAGTAATGCTTATAAAAAAATGCTTGCATCGGTTGCGATTTATTTAAAGGAAACTGATGATTTGGCTGGATTTAGAGGCTTAAGTGATATGACTTGGAATATGTGCACATTGGAGTTTATGGGTATTTTATGTTTATGGAGTTTATGTGACCATTTTTAACTGTATAGGTTGTGTTAATGACTTATTCAGATTATTTTATATAGAAATGTATATATATGTTTTTAGAGAGAGAGAGAGAATGCACATACAAATATTAGAATATTATTCATTTTATTTTTAAGATAGATTTTATATATAGATTGAAATTTTTTTTAGGAACTTTATTCATATAGTATAGTATAGAGTTGTCAGGAAGCGATGTGGGAGACAGTGAGGGTGATGACATAGGAAATAGGGTTGTGACGGTGAGGAAATTTTCCCACCGGTTAATCGACGTGTGACAACACCGGTAATACCAGTATCACCGCGGGGGTGGGGGCGTTCCCTCTTTTCCTCGCTTTTCTTTGCTTTTAAATAGCTTGTAAAAACGGCGTGCGCATTTTACTTTCACTTTCAAATAGTGGCAATTCGGAGTAAAGCAATTGTTAGCCGCGTTCAGTTTTTAATTGTAGTGTCTGTTCTTTTACTGAACTAAATGATTTTTATATTACTATAAAAAATCAAAACGATGGTGGGGGTCGATGACGCGGTGGGCAAGTGACGTAACCGGTGTTGCGGCTTAACACCGGTATCACCGTCAGCACAGTCTATGTAGGAAACAAACATGAACCGGGACTCAGACGAAGCACAAGCAAGCTATATGTTGGAGCGCTGCCCACGAGGCTATTGACTCCAACTGATTTTTTTATTTATTTTTTTTTTTTTAGAGCATGTGGTTTACATCACAACCTATTTTTATATCACATCAGGACTGTTTTTGTCAGTAATTTTAAGTTGAATTTAATTTCGTAACTAAAATCATTAAATAGAAAGACAAAATAATGTTTTCAAACAGGTTTCAATGTTCATTGGCTGGGTCAGTAGTTGTGCCTCTCGGACAGATCAGTGTTTTTAAAGCACCACATTGTTTACACTCTTCAGGAAATCAGTCTACTTATTTTTATAATTTTAAAGGTAACACTTTATTTTAAGGTCTCAACTAGTTGCTTATTATCATGAATATTACCAGAATATTAGCCATTTATTAGTACTAATTAAGCACATATTAATGCCTTATTCTACATGATCTGATTCTACATCCCTAAGCCTACCAATACCTAAACTTAGCAACTATCTAACTAACTATTAATAAGCAGCAAATTAGGAATTTATTGAGGGAAAAGTCGTAGTTAATAGTGAATAAGTGTTCCCTATTCTAAAGTGTTACCATTTTAAATATCAAGTAAAGCTCTTATATTCATGATTACTAATTACTGTTTTGCCCATAGATTCTTATTTAAAGTCCCTTACAGTAACAGTATACACTACTCTTTGCAATATAAAGCATTAAAGTTACCAGACTAGATTATTATCCACTAGGCCACATGCACATCACCTTTTGACATACAGCAGCAGCAGAGCAACACACAGCAAATTCTGGTAGAGGTTAGAATTGAAAGCGTTTTCAATGGAATGTAATTTCAAGTATTTGTTAGTGAAGTAAACAGATTTGCTTTAACAGATGCTTTAGATTTGTCATGTAACTATTCAAATAAACTCCTCATAAATTAAGAGCAGAATGTTTTCTGTTTCTCGGCAGTTTTATTGTTTGATTAATGTTAGCAGATATATCTAATTGCAAAGACCCGCTGGGTCAAAACAACCCAATTGCTGGGTTTGTCCCTATTTTACCCAGCACTGGGTTGTATTTAACCCAGCATTTTTTAGAGTGTAGAAGTGCATTTGATTATTCTCATGTTCACACAGATCACATGTGCACTTAGACATACAGGCCTTCAAAAGCAGCCATCTGTCAGTCAGAAAGCACAAAATTCTCTCATATTTGTATTAACACAAACGAGTGTGTTGCAGACCACAAGCATACGGGCCGTGACCCATCGTGTGTCATGCAGCAGTGTTATGAGACGGTGACTGTTGTGAGATATCGGCCGCTTCAGTGTCTGCCGTGGGTCACATCAGTGTTACGGTGACGTTCATGTGAAAAGTGTATCAGATGACAGCTGAGCGTACGTCTGTCTGTTTTATATTGCATGCTCATGAATGTAGTGAAGCCATTTTTGTCTGTCATATGACACCTGCGTGGATGTATAGTGTGCTTCTAAACATCTGCATGTGGTCTGTGTGTAATATCCATGCTAACAAATGAGATTTCTTCAGCATTTTGATGTTTGGTTTGACCTTTTGCTCACACTTCAATCTGGGAATCTGGGTGTGCATTTGCATAAATAGTGCAAATAAATTGTGTGACATTTTCACAATGAATTTTACTGATGGCACTGCATGAGAAAGCTTCATTAGTCCAGAAGAGACAGCGTTTCATCATAACTCATGATTCTACGGTGATTGAGATATTAAATAAAAGACCACAAGCACTGATCTGGTACGTTTTCCACTGCGATGAAGTTACAGTTACACGGCTCACACGTACCGTGGGACAGACCTCACATTTGAAGAACCGTTATTTAAGGAGGTTAAATGAATAAACTGTGCTTCAGGTGAACATGAATTCTATTAAACTGAATGCATACCATATACTAAGTCTTTGTCTTTTTTCTGTTTTTTTTCCCGTGCAGTCGTTGTATAACTCCATCAAGAACGAGAAGCTGGAATGGGTAGTGTAAGTATACTTCTGCATTCACCACCACCATTGCTCTTTTTTAGAACAGAAATAAAAAGAATAAACAGGAAATTCTAGAGAAAAAGCAGGGTATTAGGATCAGGCTGGAATCTGGATTCAAGTCAGCATTCCCATGAGCACATGCAATATTCACTGTCCCACAGATCATACGCCATCACCTTTAAAGCATCAAGTTTCCGTTCATCTTCCTTTCATCAAATGATGGTTTTATTTTTATCTTGGCTTTGGCCACACACAAATGCACAATAAACACATGGTCCAATTAAGGTCCAAAAAGTGTGTGTGATAGTGTGCTTTTGAGTCAAATGATTAGATTGGTGGCATTTGAGACATGAGCTGTAATTATGATCTTGAAAACATGACATTAGACTGACAATGTGCTTCTCTGATAACGGTCATAGAGCCAGACACCGTTCCATTGTGCCAAATTACAGCACACCCTCGCCAACTCTCTGCACCAACCGCAAACCACATCTGAACCTCGAGCTAATCTCTTGCTGTAACATCTAGTAAGCAGTAGTTATTTGCAGATTAAATATTAATTAATAACATGTTTTTCAACAACATGATATTCTGTTTATTAAAGCAGTATGAAGCCATGGATTACAGTGAATTTAGAACAGCTAAGGGGCATGTTTAGGCACTGCATGGTAGTGCTGTGTTCAAAATATCGATACGACGATGTATCGTCACAGAGATTTGACGATATGAGTATCGATACAGCTGGCCCTGTATCGATATTGTGGCACGTGTGCAGCAGTGGACCGTGCTTAATTTGTTTAAAATTTTACAACGTTTAAAATTGAGTAGAAAAGTGTGAGGTTTCTAAAAAAGAATGAATAGAGCATATATAGGCTACAACAAGGTTTAATCTGGCCGCAGAGGAACACAACTGGGTTGCCTGATATGAAGAGACGTAATCCCCGAAACAGAGCTTTACACTTGCGCAATACGGAAATATCTGCTAAATGTGTTACTTATCTTTGTCAACCTGGCAACCCTGTGCACGCGCTCTCTCCACTGTGGATAAACTTGCTTGCTTTCTGAAAACACCAGTTAGCTTGCAGTTTAGCGATCTCCACTTCAGTAATCTATTCTCAGAAAAGTGTGATTCATCAACTGTTCATTTACGACACAGAGAGAGAGAGAGAGCTGTGTATGTATGAATGACCACCGTTTTGCCGTGTTTCTCTATTACGTGGCCTCTGTATCGTGATACATATCGTATCGTGACTGCTGGTGATACACAGCCCTACTGCATGGAGCATCACTGATTGAGTGCTCTGGGTAAATACAATTTTTGTCAATCACCACAGAAAATATGTTTTTGACAATAGATTTTTAACAATTTGTGGTTGTAAAAGTAAACATTAAAATTCATACTATTTTGAAATACACAACTTTCATATACATATAAACCTGTTAATCTCTCTCACACACACATAAAACAAAAATAAAAAAGGACAAAAAAAAAGAAATGTATTTTTTCTGTGGTCAACATTGTCAAAATTTTATATTGAACCTGGAATATTTCTTTAAATCAAAGCTAAGTTGTTTTTCAGCTATTGCCAAGCAACACACATAGCAGTAATACTGATGTAATGAGGTCACAGGTGTGTGTTTATAAAGTATTTTACAATGGCTTTGAGCGCAATTTGATAAATTCACTGTCCAGCCAGATCACACGGAATATTTTCAACTTTAAAATACAAACTGTATTGTAAACATATAGGGAAAGAAAGTGATGGCGTCACTGCAATTTTCTTCGAGGGATTTTTCTCGCAAAAATGAAAACTCTGTGGAACTAGACATTTAAAAATATATAAAAAAAAAAAAATGCAATTTGTTGATTCAGTGGAAGTCAGTGGTGTCCAGCATGGTTTTGGACCCCACTGAATTTGAAGTGAGTAAGTGGTGACAGAATTTTCATATTTGGGTAAACTGTCCCTTTAAATCTGTTTTAAAAATTAATTAAAACAGATTTTAAAATTTGGCATATTCAGTTTAGATTCGGTTAGATTCTGTTTTGCGGTGATTCCTTGGATTAAAAAAAAAAAATGTTTTCACAAAATGTTCTTTAGTGCAAATCTAGCAGAAGTTACCGAATTTTAGGTTTTCAAAACCTCAGAAATGACCTTTTGTTAACAAGAAGCAAAGCTGTGCTTAACAGTGCTTTAGCATATTGAAATGATACTTGGTATATGTAATTGCCATCTTACTCGGAAGCTACCTGAACAGTTTGAGGACAATGCCACCTACTGGCCAAGAAATCTCATTAAAATAATGTGACTAATTATAGTAGACATGTCAAGTCGTGAGAGTGGTCCCTTTAGATTTCTAAAGCCCAATGTTCCAAGCTAATTCACTAATGAAGTCTGCTGTGAAGACAAATGGCGCTGTATCTTGGCAGTGTTTTTGTTTTTGCATATTAAAGTGACCTCGGAACCATGCCATGAGAGCCGCTTTCCCCTTTTTCACCAAAATAGTGCCTTCTTAGAAACAGCATAACATATTTCCACAGACTTGAGAGCTGGACAATAACATAACCTTCTAACCAAGAGCACTGGAGTGGTACGTTAGGATGATTTTGGGGGCTGGAGCAGACAGGGCCCAAACAGGGGTGTCAAAGCGCATAACGATCGAATGGAGATTGTCTGCACATTTCACTCCACCCTCAGCCATTCCAATTAGGGGTGTAACGATTCACTCGTTTTCTCGATGCATCGATTACAAACTCTGACGATGCATATGCATCGATCTTGAAACATGGATTTTGAATCGTGAACCATCGATTTCGGACAGTAATCGATTTAAAACGTTACGAATCCAATGACTCGCGATTTCTATAGTGATTCATTCGATTCGTAACGTTTTAAATCGATTACTACGATTATTAATATATACACATTAAATTACTACAAGCACGAATTAATGCAGACCTTGGCTTGAGCAGTGTTCGTGCCTCGCATTTCTCCTTCACGCGCTCCACTATTTACCGCCTGTGACTGTCACAGGATTGCGCTCGCGCTCGGTTCCTCTCACTGACACATTTTTTGAGCAGCTGATGTGTGATCTCTCCTTAGTACTCGTGGCCAGTAATGCTAAAGTGAAGTAGTTTGCTTTTCAGTAGTTTTTCAATGGCTCTCGGTCATACCGACGTCATTACCTGAGCAGTCGAAGGCTTGCGCATTTATTGCATGGACAGAGCAAAAATATAAGTGTCTAAAGCATACGCACAGTTCCAATGAATGACAAATGTGTTTTAACAATGTCGTTCAACCGAATGTACGAAGAAAACTGTTAAAATAACCACAGCATTAACAACAACCTTGAAATAAGAGCGCGAGGTTTATCTGTTAATCAGATGCATGAAAGTAGAATTCGTTGCTATAGCAAACAGACCTCCGGCGCGTTTACTTTCAGGATCATCATTCGCCGATGGAGAGGAAAAGTTAAATACTATAGCATTTTATTTTATGAAAATGAGATAAAGACGTTTTGTGACAAAATGTTAGCCTACATAATACTTTTAAAGCTCTTTTTTTTTTTTTTGTAATCTTTGCTTACATAAATTTCTACATATGCCATGTCATGCCATATCATCATTAAACTAGCATCTAATAATGGACAAAAGTGTTTTTTGTTCTGTAACCATAAAGGCTGCTGTGTAATTTGCCCCCTGACTAAGCATTTAAAGAATTTAGGGGAAGCATTTAAATAAGCTTGTGAATGTACTTAAAGAATGCAGAATCGAATCGTTAATCGAATCGAATTGAATTTAATTGTGAATCGAATCAAATTGAATCGTTCTGAATTTGCAAAAATCGTTCTTGAATCGAATCGAAAACCTATGAATCGTGAATCGAATCGATTCGCTGTCTAGCCAAAGATTCACAGCCCTAATTCCAATGGATCTATAGAGGGGCCAAGAGCAATATCAGGGTGTCCGCGGGTCCTTAAAAAGTCTTAAAATGTCTTAAATAACGTTTTCCTAATAAGGCCTTAAAAAGTCTTAAATTCGAATTCGATGGGTCTTAAATATGTTTGGTCACATTACCGCTAAAATATCTTCAGTCTGACGGACCTAAATGACTGTTTACAATCAGTGGACAGACCGAAGATTTTTTCTTCCCTGCTGTAGTTGCTGCATCATCAGAGAGAATCGCAGTAGCAGAATACAGGTCGAACTGCCTGACCAGACAAATAGCCTGATTAAAACACAAGTGACAAAAAATAACCAGCGAAGTATCGAAGAATGATTCTTCTCATTTTATTAGCCTACATTCAATGTAAACAGCAATTGATCACTGCGGTGACGTGGTTGTCACGGCGACCGTCACAGCCCTAGGATGAATTAATCAAAAGTAGGTCATTACACTTAAATCAAATCGTGATATGGACTAGTATCTGTAAATATTAAGCCGCAAAAATACTATTTGAATGAATGTGAATGAATGGAGCAGACGCGTGGTTTTGTTTACTTCACACATACTGAAGCGTGCAGTGATTTCAGCCTCTTGACGTCTCACTAAATGAGAAAATAAATACATGAACATCTCCAGAACTGCTCTGAGAGTCACTTCATGAACATTTGACCGTTTCATTTGAGTAAAACTATCATCATATCATACACACACAGAAATTTAAAGGTATTCACGGCAAACCGTCAAAATAAAAGTTTGGTTTAACTTGAAGACATTGAGCCAGAAATACATTAATATTGTTCGATAGAATGTACATGCCATTACACTTAAATCAAATCGTGATATGTACTAGTATCTGTAAATATTAAGCCGCAAAAATACTATTTGAATGAATGTGAATGAATGGAGCAGACGCGTGGTTTTGTTTACTTCACACATACTGAAGCGTGCAGTGATTTCAGCCTCTTGACGTCTCACTAAATGAGAAAATAAATACATGAACATCTCCAGAACTGCTCTGAGAGTCACTTCATGAACATTTGACCGTTTCATTTGAGTAAAACTATCATCATATCATACACACACAGAAATTTAAAGGTATTCACGGCAAACCGTCAAAATAAAAGTTTGGTTTAACTTGAAGACATTGAGCCAGAAATACATTAATATTGTTCGATAGAATGTACATGCTACTACTACTACTACTACTACTACTACTACTACTACTACTACTACTACTACTAATAATAATAATAATACAATTATGAAAACTTTATTTTATTAAGGAATAATCACACATTTGTTCCATGTTTTAATTTTAATGTTTGCCTAAAAAGGTTTGATTTTCAATAATTTAAAGATAAATGAAATTGTTTTATGCCTTCATTTGATAACCAGAAAAATTTAAAAACACAACAGAATTTCTGAGGAAAATAAAAACGTTTCATAAGGCTATTGTAAGAATAAACTTGAATAAATTAATTAGTTTTTATGCATTCAACTAATTAGACATGCTAAAACACAGAATTTGGTAACAATTAAACATATGGTGAGAACAAATAAAACAGGGCCCTAAACATGTAATTTTTGTTAAACTTTGAATACATTGATGTGAAATTATGTAAGTTTTAATGATTTTAACTAATTAGACATGCTTTTTGATTAATACAATTTAATTGAACCAGCATGATTAAATTAAAGTGATTTATTACAATTAAAGGAGTCCAGAACAATTAAAACGGAAAAAAATGGAATTTGGAAAAAAATAAAACGGAATTTGGGAAAAAATAAAACTAATTTCATGGGGCCCTAGAAATAGTTGTCACTAGTGGTTGAACAAATCGTAGTTGATTCGTGATCTGTACAGACCAAGTCCTACGGATCGGCACACATGTGATCCGCGGATTAATTGCACAATCTAACCATAATATGGTGAAAGTTTATCAATTGTAGGTGTTTACACACGCAAGCGATTTTAAACCATTCCAGCGGAGGTCAAAGGTGAAAGGGAACTCTATTTGTTACTCATGTGCTGTTTTCTATGTGCACAGCCACACACACATGAAGAGAGGCATGTTTGACTGCATGCAAACACCAACTGAACCCTCTTTCATATCTCCTTGCGTTTGAACAGAGACATATACACATAAAATTATGACAATCTCGACAATCATTCTGGTAAATGCAGTCGGTTATGTCTTAAGTGAAGGAGAAAGGCTAAGAAAGAAATCTGATGTGTATCATTATATTGGATCCGTGCATCAGTTCTTAAAGGGACAGCATCCTATAAATACCTGCTGCTGTCATAAATGCTCATCAAACAACAAAACACAGCTTTGACAAAGATTAATCTATATTTAATTTATACAGTGAACACTACGCAGTGTTGTTTTACACTTAATTATTAAATTTCTGTACCTGGATTCTTTTTGTAACATTGTTCTGTTGTATTTATCTATGCTTGTAATTTGTGTATTTTTTTTGTTCTTTACTTTCTGTTCTCTCGTCTCTTTAATCTTTAATGTTTGAACTTTCTTAGTTAGGCTAGTAGTTTTTGCTGTGGTATTGAAGAATTATTAGCTTTATGTTAGAAATGGAAAGCAAAGTTACACTGAAATATTTTTTCTTTTCTTGCTGATCCAAAAAACAATCCAACCCGTGGCTCAAAAACCGTAATATGAGATTGTTGTCACCCAATGGTGCAACCAAATTTAGCGCAACTGTTTTTGGTAGCTTTGGTTAATTATTTTGTCTGGTCCTATCCGGTGTAAATCAGAGTGAATTTTATATCATTGATTGTAAATATTAAAAGTGCATCATACCACAAAGGAAGGACATTTCAGAAGACCCTTGTTAGAAAGTCATTGCAAATAAAGTTGCAAAACCGCTTCGAAGTCTCTACTGCTCCTGCGAACTACAATCAACTAAAGTGGAACTACTTGTTTGACTTAGGTTCTGGTGTGTATGGCAAAAACCAAACAAGAACTTCATCCCGACAGTCAAGCATGTTGGAGGTCGTGTAATGGTCTGGCGATGCTTCTCCAGGAGAATCTGAAGTCTAGTTCTAGTAGTTTTGCTTTGTGTCAGTCTTTCAAAATTGAATTGTATGTGCTCTGGAAATCTGGTAGTAGTTTTTGGTTTGCGGCAAGCAGGTCAGGGGCACCTGTGAACTTTTGGCACTGTAGTTTCCTCTGGTCAATAGCTATAAATACTGGCTCATTTAAAAAAGTTTGCTGCTTGCAGCTTTATTACATTTCGCATTGGGAAATCATGGATTAGTGCCCATGAAATAACACTTGTATCGTCAGTTCCAATCTGTGTTTTAATGGTTTGTCATAATTTCTGATCTGGCGGTGGTTGGATAGGCCAAGGATCGCTCTGTGTCTGTTGTGCAAAAGTGTGCAGCCCTGTTTCATGAGACGTTTTAATTAGATTTGGAAAAGTGCAGTCAGTTCACATTAATGGCTAATGTCGTTTTCTTAAAGTCATATGCATACAGAAACAGTCATTTATAGCTAGCTCTGTTTGTTTCTCATCTTGCTGAAATACTCTGCCTCCATCATCATTTATCTGGGTTTTTATAGGGTTTTGTGGAGACTGAGTGCTATATATAGAGAGGGAGAATGAAATAGTCTGCTGAAATGAATTGTTTTCTGATTTGAAATATGTTGATGGTTGATTTTGTGGATAGGTAAATCTCATCTGCCTGTTAAAGGTGTGATTCAGCTTGAGTAAGTGGATGGGAACTTCTAAAAGGGTCATTTATTTACAGAGACAAGACTAGTTCTGACTAACTTGACTTGTTGGCTATTTCAGTATTTATTCATGTTTTTGTTTTTTTTTCAATAGCGTGTGTGATCCTTCTTTACATAAAGGGAGTCTTTGAGCATTTCTTATGCGTCCTGACACTGGACTAATTTCAGAAAGCAAATAGTGGTCTCAAGCTTCAAACATATTACAGCAAGCTGAGGTAAATGGCTGCTATTGGGATTGTTAGTTTCCTAGCAACGTTCTTTTCCATGACTGACAGAAGCGCCAACCTTCAGGGTCCGAGTCCGGAGTCTTTGCATTTCAGAAAACGTAGCAAAAAATGTCTAAAACCCAACAAGCATCTTCTCAGCTGTTAATATGACACAGTATTGAAGTGTGCGAACATAACGTTTAGTGGCATGTGTCAAGTTACAGACCCACTTCAAATGACCCGTTAATGTTGTGACCTCTGATGGTCATGCTACTGTCGCATGATTACAACTGTTGGTCTTTATTCAAATGCTCTTTCCACCTGCCGTACAAAAGAAAGAGGTGTGTGTGTGAGGAACAGATCTAAAGTCAGCACATGCACTACCTTCCAAAAATCTCTTCTGCTCGCCAAAGCTGTAAATGTTTGATAAAAAATACAGTAATATACAGTCAAGTAGTACAGTGTTCATTGCAGCAGGCACATAGCTGACGTTTGTAAATAAGCTGCTATCTATAATACAATATTGCAGTTAGTTATGTAATTTGTAACACTTTAGTGTAGGGACCAATTGTCACTGTCAGTTAGTTGCTTATTAGCATGCCGATTTTTATTGGCAGTGTATTACTATTTATAAAGCACATATTAATACCTTATTTTGCATGAGCATATTCTAGATCCTTTAATCCACCCCATACCCAAATGTAACAAATACCTTACTAACTATTAATAAGCAGCCAATTAGGAGTTTATTCGGTCAAAAGTCGTAATTAATGGTTAGTTAATAGTGAGAATTGGACCTTAAAATAAAATGTGACCATGTAATCTGTCAGATTACTGGTTTTGTAATGTATTCTGACTACCTTTTGATTACTTTTAGATGACTTTTCTTGCATATAACAGATGTGAATATGATTGTTGTGTACCATATTGTACTTCATTTGACCCTCTAACTCTAGCATGCTCTATTCTAATTCTATTTGATCTATTTGTTTTCTTTTTCATTAAAAACATATTGATCTTCTAACACTTGCACTCTCTATTCTAGCTACTTGTTTTCTTTTTATTTATTATAAAAAATGGCCCTCTAACACTAGCATTCTCTATTCTTTTTATATTCTTTTAACTTGTTTTATTTTTGTTTAAAAAAAGACCCTCTAACACTAACGTTCCCTATTCCTTTCTATTCTATCTTTTTATTTATTATAAAAAAAACCTTGCTAACCTTGCTTGCATTAGGCTAACGGAGACTTGCCTCAGCACTTATATATCATTGCTCTTTTGTTGATTTTGATTGCTTCTATTGTGCTCATTTGTAAGTCGCTTTGGATAAAAGCGTCTGCTAAATGACAATGTAAATATATTTCTTTCAAAACTGAGCAAATTAAAACGAAATATAATCTAATTACTTACATTTTGGCATCTGATTACGTAATCCAGATTACATGTAATGAACCGGTGTCTGGTTCTATAAAAAACTAGTGTAAATGCCTTCCAAGATACCCTACCTAGTTTTTAGGAGCCCTGCCAGCCATACGTGAGCAGTAATAGATGGCATGTGTGTATGCGGTGATTGTGAAACACTAACTGCCATATGGGATGAAGATAGCAGCATATAGAGCAGGAATAGTACATTGGATTTGTACCTGTTGGGTGGATAAACATTTATGTGACCTTCTATAAACTGGAGTGTGCATACTGTACCAAATCAGATATCAATGTGATCCATCAAGATGCATGAATTGTATCTTGCTGTCATTTAGCTGTCGTGTAAAAGAGATGATATTAACAAATGACATTTAGATGAAATCTACTGATTTTTCCTGCTTTTTATTTTCACAAATGTCAGGCGGCCACATGATAACAGATGTGCATTATGAGTCAGTGGTCAGTGTGTTTGTGTGGGGATTCCTGCAGTGATGTTGAATGACTGCAGACTCTCCCACACATCAGTCTCTTACAGAAATTAGTTTCCACAGCTCAAACCTGTTCAGACTCTCACTACAGACACTTCATGCATTGTCAGGGCTGTGGGAGAGTTGTCATGCATGACGGTTGATGGGATGTGTGTGTGTGTGTGTGTGTTGTAGTGATGGAGATGAGCTGAAGAAGTCTCTGTCTGAGCTGGCGGATAAGAACCATCACTCTCACACTAAGAGCATCAGTCGCATCAGCAGCAGCAGTAACCCGTTCCTGGACATTGCCCATGACCCCAATGCTGCTGTCTACAAAACTGGCTTCCTGGCCCGCAAAATGCACGCTGACATGGACGGGAAGAAAAGTAAGATTTAATCTGAAGCTATCATGTCATACAACACCTGCTCATTTTGAGGATAAAATGTGACCCGGACCACAAAACCAGTCATAAGGGTCAATTTTTTGAAATTGAGATTTATACATCATCTAAAAGCTGAATAAATAAGCTTACCATTGATGTATGGTTTGTTAGGATAGGACAATATTTGGCTGAGATACAACTATTTGAAAATCTGGAATCTGAGGGTGCAAAAAAATCTAAATATTGAGAAAATCACCTTTAAAGTTGTCCAAATGAAGTTCTTAGCAATGCATATTACTAATCAAAAATTAAGTTTTGATATATTTACGGTAGGAAATTTATAAAATATCTTCATGGAACATGATCTTTACGTAATATCTTAATGATTGTGGGCATAAAAAAAAATCAATAATTTTGACCCATACAATGTTTTTTGGCTATTGCTACAAATATACCCCAGCGACTTGAGACTGCTTTTGTGCTCCAGGGTCACAAATGTATATGATCCAGCAGCCATGCAGCATGATTTTGAAACAGGAGTAAAAAATACTGTTAAAATGTTTAGTTTAATTTAATACTTTAAGCTAAAATTATTTATTTTTTATTTCAAATTGAAAAGACAAATAATAAAAAGCACTTTTCAACTGAAGATTTTTTTTTTTTTTAGCAGGTCAGGTCATTCAAATGACTTTTACTTCTAGTTTTTAGGAAGCATTTTGATTTATTAATTCTTTATGTAATTAAAATGATTTTTCGTAAGCACGTTATATTTATGACTCTTTATAACTGAAGCATCTGGGTCTGCAGGGAATGATGGGAAAGAACATTAAATAAATGCTGTGTAATGTGAACGAGGATAAAGCAGGTGTGATTCAGTGCTTTGGCAAGCACACATGGTGAAATGGGATTTTGGCTGTAGTCTCTCATATATTATGTCCACTTATTTTTCCTTCCTAATGAGATTCTAGAGTCACTAGAAAACCCGCTGAGCTGTTGTGTCTGTTTGAAGAGACGCACCGATTACAGCTCGTCCTGCAGAAGAATCTCAAACACTGACAGCTGATATGATCAAAAATGATATGATAGAAAAGTTTAAAAGGATGCTTTCACGAACTATAAATAGTTCTGTTTTTGTGTTATATGCACTACCATCCAAAAGTTTTGGGTCAGTAAAATATTGAAAGAAATTCATAGTTTTATTCAGCAAGGATGCATTAAATTGCTCAAAAGTGGCAGTAAAGACATTTATAATGTTACAATTAGTGCTGTCAAATATACTGTATACTGTGTATATTTATTATGTATATATATATATATATAAATACACACACAGGCATGTATATATTTCAGAAAAATAGGTTGTTTATATATTAAGCATATTTATTTATCATATAAATTATATGAATATAAATATAGACATGTAAATACATGTAAATATTTTAAATATATATACTGTATTTGTGTATATATACATAATAAATATACACAGAACACACATAAATTATGCAAACAAAAACTTTTATTTTGTTTGCGATTAATCGTTTGATAGCACTAGTTACAATATTTATATTTCAAATGGTCTTTTTAACTTTCTATTTTTTTTTTAATCTTGAAAATCACAGTTTCCACAAAAATATGAAGCAGCACAGCTGTTTTCAACATTGATAATAATCAGAAATGTTTCTTAAGCAGCAAATCAGCATATGATTTCTGAAGGAACGTGTGACACTGAAGACTGGAGTAATGATGCTGAAAATTCACAGAAATAAATTACACTATAACATATATTCGCATAGAAAACAGCTATTTGAAATTATAATATTTCATGATGTTACTGTTTTACTGTATTTTTTTTATAAAATAAATGCAGCCTTGGTGAGCAAAAGAGACTTCTTTCAAAAACCTAATAAAAGTACTGACCGCAAACTTCTGAACAGATGTTTGAATATATCTAACGGGGTAAAACTGAAGTGGATACCTTCCTACTGGCAGAAGACGTGCCAACGTGAGTTTAGTCTCCAATACCAGCCGTGCCAGTGCGGTCTAATGAGCGTGCCCATGGGAGAATTACAGTCGGGATATAAACAGCAGGGCTTTAGTGATCTGCTGCATCACATGCTGAGAGCATTTAGGCCAGGGTCCCAGAGGTGCCATCAGCGCACTACCGAGAACTCAGTCTGTATGGGGTGTGAAGGATTCGGATGCTTCCCAAAGCACCTATAGCACAGCCGTAAATAAAGCTGTTCTACAGAGACGTTATCAAGGGAATCATTTGACAGGAGAAATGTAAGTAATGCCCTTCAGAGGTGGAACAGACTGGTGAAATGTTTGGTTGACCCTTTTTAACACAACAGTATGGAACGTACAGGGACAAAGTAACAGTTCACTTTGATCACAGTCACGTCTTACTGTCAATTCTTTATCCTATAAAAGACGGTTATGAAGCATTTGATATTTATATTCAGACAATTACAAGCTGTTATCAGTTCCTACTCTCATAAAATGCATGCACTACATGTTGACTTTTAAACCTAAATGTAACGTTCAGCATCAGATATTTCAGCACAATTAATGTTTTGCGCTGAATATTAATTGTCTCCCTCTGTCCGCGTGCGCACGCCCGCCGCGCCGGCGGTCATTCAGATTTAAACTTAACGCAGATTATCAGGGCGGGCCTTTATGCAAAAATGGAAATGCTTGCGTGAATTTGTGACATTTACAGTTAAGCATATGACCGTAAAATGAAAGTTTTTGCGCTGAGGACGCACACGCATCTGTCAAACTGCCTGACAGGCTAAGCCATACGCTAATGCATTAAGTTAGTTTAAAGCTTAAAATAAATAATTCTCATGTTTTGGGCAGCTTGGTTCACATACTTCTCCCGCAGCATCTCATTCTGTTTCCTCCACTATTTTTAGATGCATTTTGTAATTCAGTGCTGTAATTTGACGCGACCGGCTGAAGTTGGACGTGCACTGTGGGCAGACCCGACTAATCATTAATGAGAATCGTTGTCGATTATTTTATCGATAATAATCGATTGTATCAATTAGTTGTTGCAGCCCTAGATGAGAGAATTCACGAGTCATAATTCAGTTAACAAGTGTGCGATGAACAACAAAACACCGCTGTTTCAGCGATGACTCATCTGAACGCCTCTGATTGGCCATTTCGTTCATAAACTCAACAGAATCATGTGTGATTGTTTATAATGCGCAACACTGTAAAAACATGGAAAAATAAACATAATGGAACAAATAAGCCCTAATATTAATTAGATAGTATTACTAGCCTAATAATAATAATAATAATAATAATCGTCTTGCTATCGTCAAAGGCATCAGCTACAGGTGATAGCTCTGACTATCGTCGATACACGATACTTTTATCAATCGGCACAACCCTATCATTTACTAGAGCTTGCAGTTAATTGAAATACAGTTCTGATTTTGGTTTCGGCCTCCACTGATTATGAAAATACAATAATCTAGATAAAATGTTTATTGCGCCCCATTCCGCCCCCTTCTAGTGGTGTGCTTTCGCTCCTCTATAAAAGCCAGATTTCATGCACAAAACGGTAAAATAATGTAACTTGACTTTTGTAAAATGGGACGTGCTTGATTTATTAAAGTTGATTAGATTTACATTTAGTCATTTAGAAGACGCTTTTATCCAAAGCGACTTACAAATGAGGACAATGGAAGCAATCAAAATCAACAAAAGAGCAATGATATGCAAGTGCCATAACAAGTCTCAGTTAGCTTAATGCAGTACACGTAGCAAGTTTTTTAAAATGATATAATAAATAAAAAGAAAACAGATAGAATAGAAAAAGATTAGAAAAGCTAGTGTTAGTTTTTTTGTAAGAAAACAAGCAGTTAGTAAATGAATAGAGTGCAAGTCTAAAAGGTACAATTTTTTTTTTTTTAAAGAATAGAATTAGAATAGAGAGTGCTAGAGTTAGAGGGTCAAATAAAGATGGAAGAGATGTGTTTTAACCGATTCTTGAAGATGGCTAAGGACTCAGCTACTCTGATTGAGTTGGGCAGGTCATTCCACCAGGAGGGAACGTTTAATTTAAAAGTCCGTGAAAGTGATTTTGTTCCTTATTTGGGATGGCATAATAAAGCGACGTTCAAACGCAAGCTTCTAGAGGGCACATAAGCCTGAAGTAATTAATTTAGGTAAAGGGGTGCAGAGCCAGTGGTGGTTTTGTAGGCAAACATTAATGCCTTGAATTTTATGTGAGCAGCTATTGGTAGCCAGTGCAAACCAGGAGGATCTGGTGGTTAACCGTGTCAAAAGCAGCGGACTGCTCCAGCAAAATAAGTATTGAAGATTTGGAATCCGCTCTTGCCAGTCTTAGGGCTTCAACAACTGAGAGCAAGGCAGTCTCGGGTGAATGTCCACTTCTGAAACCAGACTGGTTGCTGTCAAGGAGGTTGTTCTGTGTGAGAAAGGCAGAGACTTGGTTGAACACAGCTCGTTCAAGTGTTTTTGCAATGAAAGGTAGAAGGGAACCTTTCTGTAGTTCTCTAAAAGAGATGGGTTAAGGGTGGGTTTCTTATGTATTGGGGTTATACGAGCCTGTCTAAATGCTGAGGGGAAAACACCAGTGTGAAAGGGTTGTGTTAATGATGTGTTTGAGTGCAGGTACAACGGCAGGAGAAATGGCTTGAAGGAGATGAGATGGAATAGGATCAAGCGGACAAGTAGTAGGATGATTAGAAAGGATGAATTTGGAGACTTCTGCCTCAGAGAGTGAAGAGAAGGATGTGAACGAGTGAATGTTTGCCGGTAAGATGTGCTTGATAGATTGTGGTGTGGAAAATTGTGCACTGATGGTTTTAATTTTATTAATGAAGAATGTGGCAAAGTCGTCAGCTGTTAGAGTTGATGAAGGAGGGGGAGGAGGAGGACAAAGGAGCGAGGAAAATGTTTAAAGAGCATGCGAGAGTTAGACGAATTGTTCATTTTGTTATCATAGTATGTCCTTTTAGCAGTGGAGACATTAGCAGAGAAGGAAGAGAGGAGTGACTGATACACATTAAGGTCAGTAGGATTTTGTGATTTGCGCCACACCCTTTCAGCAGCTCTGAGCTTAGAACGATGTTCGCGGAGAACATCAGATAACCGAGGGGCAGAAGAGGTGGTACAGGCTGGCCTGGAGGACAAGGGGCAGAAGAGGTGGTACGGGCTGGCCTGGAGGACAAGGGGCAGACAGTGTCTAAACAAGATGTAAGAGTGGAGCAGAAAGTATCAGTAGCACTGTTAGTATCAAGAGATGATAACTGTTCAGGGGGAGGAAGTGAAGATGAAACCATAGCATATAGCCGTTAGGGTTGAGCGTAGGTTACGTCGAAAGATGACATGTGGAGGGGTATGTGTTGTGTTAGGAACCATGTTGAGGTTAAGAGTGAGGAGGAAGTGATCGGAGGTGTGCAGTGGAGTAACCAATACATGATCAGTGGAGCAGTGTCGTGTGTAAATAAGGTCTAGTTGGTTGCCTGATTTGTGAGTAGCCGTAGTTAGCACTCTCTTGAGATCAAAAGAGGCAAGCAGAGTGTGGAAGTCTGCAGCTTGAGGTTTATCTAGGTGGATGTTGAAGTCTCCAAGCATAACTAGGGGAGTACCATCCTCAGGAAAGTTTGAGAGCAGCACATCTAATTCATACAAGAAGTTACCTTGTGGTCATGGGGGTCTATAAACAACTACAAAATGGATTTTAAAAGGGTGGGTAATAGTCACTGAATGTGATTCAAAGGAGCTGTTAATACCCAGAGAAGGTAAAGGAATACATTTCCAATCATTAGAGATATAAACAACTACAAAATGGATTTTAAAAGGGTGGGTAATAGTGACTGAATGTGATTCAAAGGAGCTGTTAATACCCAGAGAAGGTAAAGGAATACATTTCCAGTCATTAGAGATAAGCAGACCAGTACCTCCACCTCTTCCAGTCAGACGGGGAGTGTGGGAAAAAGAGAAATTATTGGAGAGTGCTGCATAGGGCTGGGTATCGAGTTCGATACTTTTTAGGCGCTGAACGAATTGCCTCGATACCATCGAGTATCGAAAAACGTCTTGTCGTTCGGTACCGATCTTCGATACCTAAGGGGTTAATCTTGTCAACGTCAGTGTGCCAATAAGCCTGCAGCACTGGTTGTGTTCGACTTGAAGTGGCGCCGCACAGCGCAGATTAATCTGTGTTTGATATCCGCGAGAGCGATTTGAAAGCATACGGAGCAGTCTGCTCTCTATAGCTCTCGTGGTACTGTAATACATCGATCGGTCTGCACAGTCAAACACACCTATAGTTTACACACCGGTTACACACGTAAGGCTGTTGTGTGAAATGTCCCAACCCCCATAGATGTAAGGCTACATTTACACTGGTGCGTTTTTGTTTTAAAATGAAAACAATCCTCGTCCAAAGGCGTTTCCACTGCATTTCAGAAAAGATCTTCGTCCATATTACACGACCGAAAGCGCGTTACGTGATCATTCATGCACACTGTAGCATCATGCTACATAAGACAATAAATAAGATTCATATTCTGCTTTTACTCAAAACTCTGTTTAAACCACCATCGAGTGTTTGTAATAACTTCCGATTGCCGTCTAATGTGTGTTTTGGCCATGTAATGTTGCTGAAATTAAATATGTTATTACCTCTGAGTCAGAGTATCGAAAAACGTCTTGTCGTTCGGTACCGATCTTCGATACCTAAGGGGTTAATCTTGTCAACGTCAGTGTGCCAATAAGCCTGCAGCACTGGTTGTGTTCGACTTGAAGTGGCGCCGCACAGCGCAGATTAATCTGTGTTTGATATCCGCGAGAGCGATTTGAAAGCATACGGAGCAGTCTGCTCTCTATAGCTCTCGTGGTACTGTAATACATCGATCGGTCTGCACAGTCAAACACACCTATAGTTTACACACCGGTTACACACGTAAGGCTGTTGTGTGAAATGTCCCAACCCCCATAGATGTAAGGCTACATTTACACTGGTGCGTTTTTGTTTTAAAATGAAAACAATCCTCGTCCAAAGGCGTTTCCACTGCATTTCAGAAAAGATCTTCGTCCATATTACACGACCGAAAGCGCGTTACGTGATCATTCATGCACACTGTAGCATCATGCTACATAAGACAATAAATAAGATTCATATTCTGCTTTTACTCAAAACTCTGTTTAAACCACCATCGAGTGTTTGTAATAACTTCCGATTGCCGTCTAATGTGTGTTTTGGCCATGTAATGTTGCTGAAATATGTTATTTACTCTTGAGTCAGAGCAGCGATCGTGGAAGAGAGAACATAGGCAGACAGCGCTGGAAGCAGCTAATGCTCATCAGTAAATCAGTGGAAAATGAATAGAAATGATGATTCTGTTTGAGCTATGCATTTTAAAACGAACACGTACTAGTGTAAATGTAACCTAACAGATGTGTAAACTGAAAACTATTTGAACTTTATTAAAACTAATTTATTGTGTTGGTTACATTTTGTTTCTTTGTGCAGTGGCTTGATGAGTCTTTGAGTCTGTATAAAACCAATGGATTTTTTTTTTGAGATAATGTAATCTTGTTAAAACTGATTTCATAAAATTGGTTTCGAAAAACGTATCGTTCAGGAACTGGTATCGAAGTGAAGGTATCGGTATCAATATTAAAATTTTTGAAAGATACCCAGCCCTACTGCAGGAGTAGCAGTGTCCTCTGGTTTGATCCACTTCTCTGTCAGAGCCATTAGGTTTAGTCTTGAATGACTAGTAATAGATGTAATGAAATCTGCTTTGTTTACTGCAGACTGACCATTCCAGAGACCAATAGAAAAAGAAAGTAGTGTATTAGCAGACATAGGCAAAGGGCACAGGTTGTTAGGATGGCGCTGCCTACAGTGTGTGATGCGTGGTTTGCAAGTGGTAGTGATAGTAGGAATCTGGAAACACATGGTAAGAGTTGGTCATTAAAACTGAAACAGAAGTGAAGCAAGGTGTAGAAAAGAGAATGAATCAAAAGCGATACGTATGTCCCTTGCCGGTGTCCCTGCACGGTGGAGTCGCACGGTAGAGTCGATGGTCTTTACACTCTTAGGTCTTCACACGACGGCTGCCGCGGTATACTAACCTTTTTTAAACCCGTTTGACATAACGGAAATTGAATTCAGCTGAACACAATTTACTGTTTATGAAAACAAAGGGCTAAGCAAGCGTACGACACTGACAAGGTATGCGATACAGTACGAGACCAAACGCAACTTCAGCACGTCTCAACACAGTAAACAAAACAAGCGTTTCCTAGATTTATTAATGTTTTTAAAAGCGCGAAAGAACTTGCGCTGTTCCTCTGGAACTGGTAAATACTATAGTGTTTTTGAACCATACTATAGTAAAATGTATTATACTGTATATTATTTACAACACTTTGTTTAATGAATGCTACAGCATACTGTAGTATTAACTGTAGTGAACTGATAAACTGTAATAAATACTGTAATATGTTTTAGTTTTTACTACAGTAAACTGTAGTGTATTGTAGTATAATATACCCTATAGTTGTGGAAAACTTAGTACAGTATTGAGTAAAGTCATTTGTTTATATTACTATAGTTGTTATATTACCACAGCAACTATAGAATTACCACAACAAATTAATTCAAGTACTTTACTATAGTATGGTTCAAAAACACTATAGTATTTACCATAAATCACTATAGTATTTTTTCATGTGGGACAGAACACGGAGATGTAAAGCTCAAGGTGCGCTCCTAAACGCCCAAATACACACAAAAATGTGTCAAAATGCAGCACTTAGTGGTTATTTACATAAACCCTCGTCGGTTATGTAATAAATGAATGTAAAGAGTTGAGAATGAAAATATGTGTGCAACAGTAAATTCGATCCGTGCTGCTCTTAAAGTGACAGTGGACTATATTCTTGCTGTTGACTGTGTGCTTAATATTAATCAAACAACAAAAGACAAAGACAAAATCACTCACTGCTCTTGATTGAAGGATTTTTTTTAGTTTTAACAAGAAACAAAGAAAGTTTATTTCTTGCAGTGAAGACTGTATTTGATATATAATTTGATATTATTGCTATCTTTAAATAAATCACTCATATAAAGTTTTGCTAATGTGGCCCACTCATAATCGTGTTAAATCATCGTGATTACAATATTGGCCAAAATAACCGTGATTATGATTTTTGCCATAATCGAGCAGCCCTATCATTTGCTCACCTTCACATCATCCCAAACTGTATGAATTTTGTACTTTACTGGAAATCAAGAGATGTTTAGTAGGATGCTCATGTTGTGAATGGGGACAGATGCTGTTGAGCTCCATAAACCACTACAAATGTAATCCATGCTGCTTTTATGTGTGTGTTGTTACTGACTTTTAGCTGACCTAATAGCATTTGGGTATGTTCCTCACACAAAGCAGATGCTTTCAGAAGACTTGGAAGAAGTTATGATACCTATAATATGTTTTTATTTGTCCTTTTTAGTTTAACAGTCTTGGTCACTATGAACTGTTAGTGAATGGAAAAGACTAACATGATAAATGATTTCATTATATTTATTTTACTTGTATTCTCTAGCACCGAGAGGGAAACGAGGCTGGAAAACCTTCTATGCTGTTCTGAAAGGCATGATCCTCTATTTGCAGAAGGTTTGTTTACTCGCTCTTTCATTTTCCCCCTCGCACTGCTGATTAATCAAATTTCCATCATTTCCCACAAACATCAATAATAAATCGATTTCTCCTCCCGGAGATTGTGATGTGAGAGGTAATCACATTCACACATTTATTTCAGGTCTGACAAACCTTTTCAGAGCCCATCAAAGAAAGAAGCGTCCCAGCTCCCCCATTCTCCATTACAATAGTTTATTTATGTGCTCCATTTGAACTTGCATTAGTTGCTTAGCTGTGCAGTCATGCGAAAGTCACAGAATGAAATATTGGCGTGAAAGCAGGCCGTACCTGTGCATATATTTTTGTGCTGGTGACTGATTGTTTCCATGGCATTAGAGCTAACGATGTGCCATTTGTGCAGCAATCACACCAAATGTCTCTCATCAGAGAAACGGGAAATGTGCTGGATGGCTTTCTCATTCTCATTCTCATTTCAAACAGACCTTTTATTTGGGAGAAAAAGAATATACTCAAATGCAAACTCAGTGTCATGTTGCCTGACTCTTAAATGCATGTTAATTGTAATTAAAGGAATGGTGTAGCGCCAAATGTATATACATACACAGTCCAATGTCCTAAAGTTGTACTGGGTGTGTGAATCAAAAAAAAAATCAGAAAAAGGGTCTACACACCACGAGCAGGGCAAAGGCAACTGTTTGTTTATTTTGCTTCATTAGAGGCCACATAAAATAAAGTGCTGCAAAGTGCAGTGCAAAATGTTTTCAAGATCAACTCTTCTTCAGTGCCATATAATTGCAGATACACACCTGCATCAATTTAAAGTGCACATATTACCGTAGAAATTCTAATATATGTGCAGACACAAAAAATACAAGGCATTATCAGATATGGGCTGCAGTCACAAATTTATATCATAATTATATCTGTCAAAAACCCAAATACAGCCTTGAAACATTTACAGATATAAAAAATATAGTTCACATCCATAAATAAGCTTAATTATACAAATGTATATAATTTTGTAAATACACTAATACTGTTTTTTATTAGAATATATTTTAAAATGTAATTTATTTCTGTGATTTCAAGGCTGAATTTTCAGCATCATTACTCCAGTCACATGAATGAGTCAGAAATCATTCTAATATTCTGATTTGCTGCTCAAAAAACATTTATTGTTATTAATATGTTGAAAACAGCTGAGTAGAATTTTTTCACGTTTCTTTGATGAATAGAAAGTTCAGAAGAACAGCATTTATCTGAAATATAAATCTTTTGTAACATTATAAATGTCTTTATCATCACTTTTGATCGATTTAAAGCTTAATTGACAAATGAATTTATTATTAATTTCTATAATTTCCTCCCCAAAAAAAGAATTATACTGACTCCAAGGTTTTATAGTGTTTAATGTTACAAAAGTATAGTGTGTTACAAAAACTTTTTCTTTCAGATAAATGCTGATCTTTCTATTAATCAAAGAATCCTGAAAACATGTACTCAACTGTTTTAAATATTGTTAATAATATAAAATGTTTATTATTCAGCATATTAGAATGATTTCTGAAGGATCATGTGACACTGAAGACAGGAGCAATGATGCTGAAAATGTAGCTTTGATCACAGAAATAAATTACATTTTAACAGATATTCAAATAGAAAGCAGTTATTTTAAAAAGCAAATATATTTCACAATATTACTGCTTTTGCTGTATTTTGGATCGAATAAATGTAGGCTTGGCAATCAGAAGAGAATTCTTTAAAAACATTAAAAATCTTACTGTTCAAAAACTTTTAACTGGTAGTGTATATATCACATATACAAATGTCCATGATAACTCTACTCACAAAATCTATATAAAACATAAGCACAAAAATTTATCAAAATAATTCACAGAAAGCATTTCATAACTAGTTCTTCATTCATGCTTCATTCAAAGTTTCGGATTTAACCAAAAAAAAATCTCTTAACATTTTTTAGTGCGAAAAATGAGGAGGATTAGCAAAAAGAACTGCACAGGATCACTAGTCAAAATATGCCAATGCTTTCTAAAGAAATCACTTTAAAATGCACTTTAAAGTAAAATATGAATTTTAGAATTCACATCCTAAGTGAGATGTGACATGTGATGTTCTATTTTTTCTATTCTATCTACTTGTTTTTCTTTGTGTATGTGTATATGTGTGTATAATATATATATATATATATATATATATATATATATATATATACACCTTGCTACGTGTACTGCATTAGGCTAACCGAAACTTGTCATTTGCACTTATATATTGTTGCTCTTTTGTTAGTTTTGACTGCTTTTATTGTTGTCATTTGTAAGTCGCTTTGGATAAAAGCGTCTGCTAAATGACTAAATGTAAATGTAGAATTTTTTTAAAATGTGTTTTTTAAGTGCTTTAAGAAACAGTCATGAAATTATACTTTCAAAGTACACTTAAGTGGCCTTTTATTGTTTTAATTCATGTTTTAAACCAATGAATCACACTCATATATATATATATATATATATATAATCTACAAGTACAGTTTTTTTTTAATATATGTAAGATTTGAATATCACTACAAGAAAACATTTTATACAGTTAAGCACATTTCTTTTTCTTTTTCCACCAGCCTATATCCATGTTGTGAGTGTGATTCATTGGTGGAAAAAGAGAAAACACAACATTTGAAGATTAAATTGACTGATAGCATTATCTGTTTATTTATTTTTCAAAATACCTACAGATATCACAATAATATTGTTATCGTAAATTCTTTTAGCCACAATAAATGTGTATTGAAAATATGAGCCTCCAAAATTTCGAGTTCCTGTTCAGTGGTAGAGCATGCACTGTTTCATATGTTTGATCAGGGTGGGTCTCTCTGAGAGCTTAAAGAAGCACCACTACTGTCAGGTTATATTGCTTGTTCACTCAAATACACAATTAACAGACTCAGCTTGGTGGTGTTTGGCATCCACACATCACTTAGAAACAATATGTGATTCTGATTCAATGCAATGATGCAATAATGCAATGATCTCACTGATGATACAAAAATCAATAATAAACATCACAACTTTCTATTGTGTTGACTCTGCAAAAGGCATTAAGTTTTGAGATTACATTTGCATTTAGTTATATGTCAGTTGACTTACAAATGAGGACAATAGAAGCAATCAAAACCAACAAAAAAAGCAATCATATGTAATGCTGGGTACACACTAAAAGATTTTTAAAATCTTATAAGATCTTCAAAATGTGAGAGATCACCAACATGAGGGAAAAAAATCCTAGATTTAACCGTTTTGCTCCTATAGAGTGTGGTGTATTCGGGGTTCCCCCCGACACATCAGGATTTCTGATCGTAAATATTCAACATGTTGAATATTTACAATTCGCGATCGGGGCGCCTCCGACGTTCTTCTGAGCAGATTCAGTCACTCTTAACACACCTCACACCACAGGAAAATCTGATAAGATAATCTTTAGAACCACCAAGATAATCGGGACATTACCTAGGATTGTTGGAAGGGGAGAAATCGGCCCAAAATCAGCCCGATTATCTTGTGGTGTGTACCCAGCATTAGTGCTGTGACAAGTTGTCACGCCTCTGGACTGTCTGTGTGTTTTTCTCCCCATGTGCTCCCCTTGACCCAGTTTCTCCCTTGATTGATTGTGTTCATTTGGTTCAGGTGTGTCTCGTCAATTACCCTCGGTTAGTCTTGTCTGTTCCTGGTTTCCTTTGTCCGGTGTAACGTCATTTCATCTATACTATGGTCTATGCGTGTGTTCTTGCCTGCCCTGTGTTCCCGTGTTTGGGTTATTAAAGACTGTTATTTGTGACTCACCTTCGTCTCTGCGTTCCTCGACTCGTCACCGTAGCACCGTGACACAAGTCTTGGTTGGTCTAACGCAGTACACAAGGATTTTTTTATAATAAATAAAAAGAAAACAAGTAGATAGAATAGGAAACGCTAGTGTTAGAGTGTCTTTTTTTCTTTCAATAAAAATAAAACAAATCAAAAGAATAGAAAAAGAATAGAGAATGCTTGTGTTAGAGGCTCTTTTTTAAGGTTTTAGAGGGTTAAATAAAAAAAGAAAACAAATAGATAAAATAGAATTAGAATTGACAGTGCTAGAGTTTTAGAGCGTCAAATGAAAATGGAAGAGATATGTTTTTAGCCATTTCTTGAAGATGGCTAAGGACTCAGCTGCTCAGATTGAGTTAGTAGATGATGTAAAAGAATCTTTAGCACACAAGAATCCGAACCAGATTTGTTAAACTCCTTGGATTCCCATCCCTGTCCGTGTTCATCATTTGTCCTGTGTGTGCTTGCTCCTGCAGGATGAGTATAAGCCGGAGAAGGCCCTGTCAGAGGATGACCTGAAGAACGCCGTCAGCGTGCATCATGCTCTCGCCATCAAGGCGATGGACTACGAGAAGAAGCCCAATGTTCTCAAACTCAAGACTGCTGACTGGAGAGTGTTCCTCTTCCAGGCCCAGTAAGAGACAGCTGTCAAGACCTTCCCTGAACTCCAAATCTAATTTCATGCTTCAGTTCAAGCTCAATTAAAGCTTGTTTATCTCGTCCATTGGTCTGCCCACAGACCTTTTATTTCTTCGTAAGGCTGACTGCTCTCATCCTGTGAGTTTGCGCGACTGTAGCGTGGACTTCTTCATATGAACATGTGCCGTCTCTTCTTTGTAGGACCCCCGAGGAAATGGAGTCCTGGATTAGAATAATCAACTCGGTGGCGGCCATGTTTTCCGCCCCATCTTTCCCCGCTGCTATCGGCTCGCAGAAGAAATTCAGCCGTCCGCTGCTGCCGGCGACCACCACCCGCATGTCTCAGGTGGGTCTGAGGAGTCAAGTCAAATGCTGTTGTCCATCTGAAGCTAGGACTGGGCGATATGGCAAAAAATGTAAATCTCGATTTTTTTTTCAGAACATTCAACCGAATCTCGATTTTTTTTTCTCGATTTTTTAACTAGTCAGCTTGAAAATGTAACTACAACATGATTGAATCAAGTTCTTTATTAACCCTCTAGGTAAGAAAACTCTATTCCAAGTGCAGCACACATGAAGTTGTCAACATGATGTAAATGTTAAACAAATCACTTGTTAAATATCTATGCAGAAAAGATGCATGAACTACAGCTACATCTTGTACAAACTTGTCTTATACATATTATATATTCAGAAATAATACAGAGGAAAATGCTTTAAAAATTCTTTCAGCGTCTCATGCATGAAACAGCATTTTAAAAACGCAGCGCGCAAGTTAAAGTTCACTCCCATCTTCTTGCATGTTTTTCCTATTCCACTGCCGCGTCGCATCTTTCAACACAAAAGTGCATTCTGTGTGAACGGTGCCTAGCGATAAGAGCACTTCACACAGAGCAGTTAATCACGTGCGCCGACATCTGTTTAGATCGTTTTTTTCTCTTTACTGTTATCATTGGCATATTGTCAAAGTGTCTAATTCTAACGTTTGGTAATATTTCTATTCCTCGATTTCGAAGTCGCCCAGCCCTATCTGAAGCCTTTGATGACTGCTGGTCATTTGATGTGTCTGTTGTGTTACAGGAAGAGCAGCTCAAGTCCCACGAGGCCAAGCTGAAGCACGTCTCTACAGAATTAGCCGAGCACAGATCCTACCCGCCAGATAAGAAGGTCAAAGCCAAAGAGATCGATGAGTACCGCTTGAAGGAGCACTACCTGGAATTTGAGGTAGACGGCATTGCCTTTTATGATGCAAGAGACACAATTAAGCAGATCGTTTGCTCAGGTTTACCTTGGCCGTATTTTTCCCCCTCGACACACAGGGAGCCGTGTTCATTGTCTTTGACGTTCCTCATCTAGACTGTCAGGGATGAACTTGCCTAGAATTGATGGAAATGCAATTGAAAAAAAGCCGTTTTATTTTCTGGCTTTGATTGATGGTTAAGGTCAGAGGAAGGGAATAAAACAGCACTCTTATCACACATACTTTTGTTTCAACATTAAATGATGCTTTGTAAATGCTTGTTCTTATCTTTAATGAATTCAGACATAAGCAGGCTTAATGCATATCTAATATGTAATATAGGAACTTTTGGTGCTCTCCACAAATACAAACGAGTACAAGTGGTGTCCCAGTACTTTTTCAGTAGTGTATCTAATTTAGGGCTGCCCCCTAATAGTCGACTAATCGTTAGTCGACCAGAAGAGGCTTGGTCGACCAAAATTGTATTAGTCGCTTAGTCGCAGAAAAAAAAATCCACTGGCGAAGTCACGCAGTCCGTGACGGAGAGATCGTTAACGGCTAGTCTATGGTAATACAGTACATCGATGGGCAGGACATCCAAACGCTCGCCTATCATTCATCGACCTATCAAATATGGCTTATCATCTGAAATATGTAAGTATTAGCAACTTTACATGGCCGCTCAATCTAATGTTAACCTAGAGAAATGTGCGTTGTTCAAGTGTCTGTGCGGAAGCTGAACAGTGCGCTCACTTGCTCTTAAAATAATCCCTCATTTTTGGTCATACAGATAAGAGTAATACATCTTTTGAATCTGTAAAGACTGTAAAGACGTTTATTTGTGTGCACTCACAATACCACGCTTTTGTAAAATAATGAAAGCAAACATGATGCGCTTTCTGCCGTCTCGGTCTCTGTGAACTTGAACGCGAAACTCTGTGTATATCTTTGCCTTACAGACATTAAAAATATATCTATAGAGAGTGAAATTAACCAATTCAAATGGAAAACAAATTCTCAGAGTATGTAATCCGTGTGAAACATGAATACAGGCGCATCCACTAGCCTACTGCGGAGTCAGTGTCGCCGACTTCATCTCTTAATACGAAAAAAAAAAGCACTAGTTTATCAAATTATTAAAATATTATTGCAGTCTCCTTACTGTTTTTCCCGAAACGTTCATAATCATTACTTATGCCGGTGCGCTGTGGCAAGCTTTATGCATGTACTTGAGCGCTTATTAGGCTATGTATGCAATTAAAGGCTCATTATAATGATTTAAATGGTTTATTAATAAACGTGCGATTAGTCGACTAATGCTTAAAATGAACGACTACTAGTCGACCAGAAAATTAAAGGCTCATTATAATGATTTAAATGGTTTATTGATAAACGTGCGATTAGTCGACTAATGCTTCAAATGAACGACTGCTAGTCGACCAGAAAAATCCTTAGTCGAGGGCAGCCCTAATTTAATTAATAATAGTGGTTTGATTATTGCACTGACAACATGCATATTAAAAAAAACAATGCATTTTATTTTGTACTTAAACTTTAAATAATCTAAAAAAAAACAATAAAAAAAAATATCTTTCAAATCCATTTTCTCAGTTTTTACACAATTTTTTATAAAAAATTATCTAACAAAAATGTATGGCAAATGGGTTTAACTAATGGGTTTATCTAATGGGTTAAACTAACGAATACACTTTCACATTAAAATGTTGTATGTTATTTACTCTATTATGGTTAATCCAGTGAAATTAAGTAACTGGTTAAAGCAGTGGTTCCCAACCCTGGTCCTGGAGGCACCCCAACATTTTGCATTTTTCCTTTCTCTGACACACCAATTTCAGGTCTTGGAGTCTACTAGTGAGCTGATGACCTGATCAGGTGTGTTTAAGGAGACATGCAAAACGTGCAGTGTTGGGGTGCCTCCAGGACCAGGGTTGGGAACCACTGGGTTAAAGTGATCTTAGTTTAGTTCTATTGGACAGCACCATTATAATGTGTAATTCTGATAAACTCACTGATATTGCAGTGTATTAACCCTTCCTAATAAACTGTAGCGATCACACATCTACATAACACACATCCACTCTGATGCACTTTCAGCTACAGTTAATAAAACAACACCTTTGTGGATAAAAAAAAGCTTTTAAAGGCCTTTGGCCTGACAAACATGATCAATATTCCAGGTAGTGTGTTTTAGAGCCTCCTGTATGTGGATCTTTAAAGCAATTTGCTAAAAACTGACTCACCCTCAGCTCATCCAAGATGTAGATGAGTTTGTTTCTTCATCAGATTTAGATAAATGTATCATTGCATGAGTGTCTCAGCAGTGGATGCTCTGCAGTGAATAGGTGCCGTCAGAATGAGAGTCCAAACAGCTGATAAAAACATCACAATAATCCACACCACTTCAGTCCATCAGTTAATGTTTTGAGAAGAGAAAAGCTGTGTGTTTGTAAGAAACAAACCTATTAAGATGATTTTTAACTAAAAATATGAGTCTTCTATGCATAATATTGCTTTCTCCAGGTAAAGAAACAAACTCATCTACATCTTAGATCTTCATCTATGGGCGACAAAATCTTCAGCAAATTTGAAAAAATCTTTTGGATGAACTTTCAGAGCTCTCCTTTAAACTGTCAGGACCACCTTTGAGAAATCAATCCCATAATCAGCATAATGTGACAATATAAGATTTATTTCATCTTATATTTAGCACTCTTGTGAGTAAATTTTTATAGTATTCAGATATTAGCTCTGTAGCTCACTTCTTTAGGCGTCACGGGTGTACACCTGACACAAAGGCTGTTCAAAACAGTAGACTTTGGCCAAATCCTTGGCAGCATCATAAATATCCTTCCTAGATAAGTCGATCTCAGAATGACCCTCAACAAGATCAGTAAAAAAATTCATTCCAAATGGTGGACACAAAGAAAAATTATAATGCATTACAAATAGATTTTATTCAGTACTGAAAATTATGAACAAAGAATAGTCCCATAGAATTGAAAATGTGCGTTTTTGCTTACTAGTGTGTGGAGTCAAAACAAGTCAAGTAGCTTTATTTGAGTGTTTTCTGCACTTCACCTGAGGAGTGCTTTGTGTACATCAAGCCAAGACACCACAGGTCAATAGGGTTAAAAAGGGTTAAGAGAATTTTGTATTCAAAGTTTTCTAAAAAATTATACTTTTAAATGTGCAAATTAAGCATTATTAAAGAAAATATGCACTCATTTGGATACATTTCCAGAACAGAAATCTGAAACTGGATGCAACCAAGTTCAAAATCCTTATTTTGTTTTGTTGACATACTAGAGTTAAAGGTGTTTACAAAGTGGAGAGACGATATACAGTACTGTATGTGAACGAACCCCTCTGTAAAAACCTACAGAATATAGATGGGAATAAAACTGTGAGGTTTGGTGTATGTAAGTGCTGCTGAAGTTCAGCCTTTAAAGATACATATATAATTCAAATCAACAGATGCAAATAAGCTAAACACTTAAATGTGTATTTTGGATGATTCCTTCCATCTTATAAAATAGCCCAAAATCTCACAATTGGCCAGTGTTTTTGCCTGTCGCGTTTTGCCTTAAATGAGCCACTCACAAGGTGCCGTTTGACTGAAGATGCTGCTTTGAAGGTATAGTAAGTGCGAGGGCTGTGAGCAGAGCTATTGTTAGCGCTCTTGTCTCATGACATTATAATGGAGTCTAATGGATTTTCTGAAATTTCTCTGAAGGAGAGCCGTTACGAGATGTACGTCAAGCTCCTGAAAGAGGGTGTGAGAGAGCTCTTGATGGCCCGGGACGGTGACGCGGCGCTGAAGAAGTCTCAGTCCAGCCCATCTCTCAACCAGGAGTCCCAGCCGGCCACCGCTAAAGTCAAGCGCAACACGTCCGAGCGGAAGGACTACCGGCCCGAAACACCCAAGATCAAATAGACAGTCTCCTGCTTCCTGTCAGAGAGCCACTGTATATCACGCGTGACTGTACTTTGATGTAATTTATTTATCTGCCGACAGTTCTCAGAAATAATTTGTGTAAAATGTAAATTGATCAGTTGGTTGGAAGTTGTAAATCCCTAGGTCTCCCTTAACCAGCCGGTGCTTGTGGAGCAAATAGTGTGGTCTTCTTTTTTTATTCGTTAGCGTGTAAAGATCATGTGGTTGCACTTTATTTTACAGTACGCACGTTTGCGGAAATAACGGAGTAATTTTAGGTTAAGGTTAGGTTTAGGGTTAGATTCAGTGTTGATGCCTTGTTATTACCCAGTTAAGCCTCGTGCACACCGGGACGATTATCGCCAGTGTTTTTCTAGATGTTTTTCGACACGTCTTGTTCATACCCAAGAGATTTTCGCTGGCAATGAGCTGAGTGAACGTGCAAATTCACTCCTTGACATTAGATGGCGCTTAATGAAAAACAGAAATACCCCAGGACACATCGAATCCTATTTGATCTGCAATTCCTCTCCATAACAACTCTCTCTTATCGAGATTTTTGTAGTCGCTGTCGTGTTTGTCATAAAGCCCTTTGTGTTCAGACACCAATGAGACCAGCAGCTCTACATTCATCTTGCCTCGATGCATCTTCTTCGTCTACTTACATCCTCTTCGTCGTTAGGTATCAATGTGTGCTCGGCAAGACTGTTTTGTGCTTGAGCGCCACCAAGTCGTGTTTTACTGTAACTTCAGCAGCTCCAAGCACGTGAACAAAAGCGGCAATCTCATTGGTCAGCCAGTTTTTAACGCAGCGCGTCAAACCAAAAAAATTACGCTTTTACGCCTTGCGTTTTGTGCGTCAGTGTGCACACTCACATTGGCGCCTTTTGTTTAGTCACAAGGCGTTAAACGTCAGCGATAATCGTCCCGGTGTGCACAAGCCTTTACACTCTTAAAAATAAAGGTTCTTTATTGGCATCAATGGTTCTATGAAGAACATCCGTGGAACTTTTCAAATGCAGAAAAGGTTCTTTATAGTCAAAAAAGGTTATTTAGATTTAAAAAATGTTCTTCAAAATGGTTCTTTTAGGAACTGTTCACTGAAAGGTTCCAAATATGGTTCTTCTATGGCATTACTGCAAAAACACCCTTTTGGGACCTTTATTTTTAAGAGTGTGTTACTATACTAAGAGGACTGTAAAATAAAGTGCCGCTGATTTCGTTCTGAGAACATGACCGTCTCTTGATTGTGCTGTTCCCCTAATTTGCTTTTCCTTCAAGAGAAGTATTTTCTTCAAGTGGAAACGTCCACTTACATATGCTAGGCAGTAGATATAGTCTCACTCAGAGCGTTAACTGTTATTTTACTAGATGAATAAACGGTGGATCTGAGCTGACAGCAGAGAGAGGGGTCATTTTTAGGATCCTTTAGGATTTCAGTGCATGGATATGATGCAGGATTTATCACGATACCTTTAGTTTTCGATGTACTAACCACGTACTAACAAACCACAAAATTCTCAGTGTAATATCTACTCTCACGCGCGCGGTAATGGATCGTACCAGCATGTCGCAGCAATGGACCGAAACTCTAAATAGATTATTTTCTAATGATGATTTCGAGGTACTTGCTGAGTTACAGCATTTCAGACTGCAAGATTAGATGACGTTCACGTTAACGCCATCGGCTGCGCAGTTTGTGCCATTTATTTTTTTATGTGTTTGTTGAAGTAAAGAGTATACTTCTGCTTTTTCAGTAATGCTCCTTTTGTGTATTTTATAAACTTATATTTGAATTTTTAATTCTCAGTTCAGAACATTATTGTTGTAAAGATGACAGTAGTATTTATAGTGCACTTTATTAGTTCTTTTGACTCTTTTAGAGAGCTTTATAAAGGGTAGTGATATGTTACTTCATTATACAGGTTTTTCAAGCGTAACCAAATCTGTGGTTGGTTTTATTGAAGGTACACAGCCGAAGGTACATTTTCACTCGTGTAAAGTCGTGTTAGTTTGTCTGTACTCCTGTGTTTTTGCCGTCATGTTTAGGTTGTTCGAATACAGAGGTTTCTAGAGGAATTGAGAGCATTCCAGTTACTTTTTTCGTGATGCTTGCTAACCTTGAATCTAAGATGTCATTTTCATTACAGAAACAAACGACGTGAACACTATATGAATGTTCTACATTGTTTTTGCACACCAAACAAAGCCGGATCTATTTACTTATTTGAACTTTTGAAGGTTTCAAAGGAATCTATATGAAAAGCTTTTCACATTTACAGATATTAGTTTGAGTCCCTTCAGTCTATTATGACATTTTGTTTACTTGAAATATTTTTAAGGACGCTTTATTTTGTTAGAATTTGACAAATAGAAACAATTTGTTCATATCTACATTGTATTTTTTTTTGTCATTACAAGCTTGTTTTTCATGTTTTTTTTCTCTCGCTGTAAGATTGCAGGACTTATTATTTCTCTTGTCCTGTTCTGAACACAGAAGCACTTAGATGATGTTTATTTTTATTTATTTGTTGCTACTTTTAGAACAAAAGCTGCATTACATTTCAGCAGTATATACAGTACACGCTTAGTAATGAATACTACAAAACTGTCATCAGTATATGAAGAGATCGACTCTTCCTTTTATGTGCTACTATGTTTCAAGTTTGATGTTCGCCGCTTTTCCAGACCAAATAGTTTCCTGTGACATGTAACTCTGGCACTAACCCTTTAACAGTGTGCACGTCCTACACAGACTTAGTACTTTAGAATAGTAATTGCATTTGTTATTATTTTACATAGGATGCAGAAAATTATGATAAAAAAAAAAAGTCAGAAGAAGTGTATACATAAAAGATAGGGGCATGCAAGTGCACTTTAGGGTTTCAAAATAAACAACAACAACAGCTCTAATGAAAAATCATTCAAAAGTGAGGCTTGCATAATTACAAGCAGTTAAGAGGTTTGAAATGCATTTCTTCGTCATGCTAATATTTTGACTGGAACACTCACTTTGTTTTCGACGTTTGTTTGTGGATCTCCTGGGTGCAGACTGCTCATGTTTACCGTGATGTATGCCACAACTCAACTGAACTTGATTGTAAACATACAGTTTTTCCTCCAGCCTTGTCATCTTTGTGCGTTTACTTTGGTGAACCCTGTAATTTATGATCTCCTCTCAAAATGCAATTGTGTGAGTACTGAAGGAGAGCAGCTGGTTTTAATGCGCCTTAGCCATCAGTTGGACCGTTTGCTGTCCAAACTCAGATATCGTGAATACCTTTTTTTAGCTGTGATCCTGTACTACTCCTTTAAATCTGTAATGTTGTTCAATATGCCTGTTGCCCTGTGTTCAGAAGACTGGATGTGTTGGTTGTGATCTCCTGGCATGAGCGTGTCTTACGCCTGCCCTCAAAGATCAGGGACACCATGTTGGCTTCAGTGAATAAAATACTGTATTTAATCGTTCATTGCATCTGCACTCATTTTTAATCCACACATCTTCAGAAAGCAGCTCAAAGTCAATCAGAACGAGCATTCTGAACCCCCATCGCTCATCGCTGAAATGGTTAATGTATGAATAAAACAGCCAAACACCTAAAAGATGGGTCATGTACTATATGATGTTCTTGCCTTAATCAGTGTTAGCCATTATAGGAATATTTATTTAAATCAGTGCAGAACCAATACGTTCAAGCTTATTATAAAACACGTTAACAGCTTATTATAAACATAATTCCTCAAACAAAAGTAAGCCAACGCATGTTGAATTAGCAGGTGTTGTTTATATGAAAGTTTATATGTTCGCATGAAAAGCTTGACGTACTAGCAACTATATAATGCTATTTAAAGGCTATTCTGATCATTACGACACTGGCACAGCAACTGTTGTTGAGTACTTGTCAATCATAATCTTGTAAGTAGATGCAGTGACACGGAGAAATCACATGAAATCAATGATTTTCTTTTCAAAGTGATTTATTATTTTTAAATTGGAACATTTACTTGACAGCAATTCAGATGTAGCCATTGTAAAACATAATATTAGTATTTCCAATGTCGATAAGCCGCAACAGTACCATTTAGTCAAACAGTCTTGCACATCCCTGCTTCAAAAACCTGTAAGAACACAGTTTATATTATATTCAACTCAAAAGGCATGATCTCTAAAGCTACTTTTCTGCAAAAAAAAAAAAAATTATTGAGTAAGTCCATAATTTCTGTGGACAACATTAAAAAAAATGTCCTTTGCCTTCAGATAAGACAGTGGCACCTTTTGGAGAGCCAACTTTTACACCACGTGAACAGTCATGATTAGTTACCAGAAGAAATCTGTATCTGCGGTACCTTCACATCCACTGGAAATGAATGTAATAGAGCCTGATTGCTGCTAATGGAAGCCGTGAGGTTGATTACACACCACAGGTTGGACAGAGAAGGTCACATTTGTATACATGAAAGTCAGCCAACATCACCTCCTGTTTACACTTTACTCCTGTAGTCGACAGAGACAACTAGCGTTTTGGCAAAGTAGAGTTGCAAACAATCACGTCGACAGAGGCTACTGTACGGGTCTGAACAAATTTTGATGAAAAACAGGAATCTAACTTGCATGGCCATGTGGCTGAGAAATAAAGAACAAAAAAGCAGCACATCCTCTACATATACATTAAGAGAATGATATAAGTTGCTGTACACAACATCGCATGCATACTCACCGAAATGCATGGCTGACAGTTCAGCCGTTTGGCATCATGTTTGGAGCAAAGCCTGCCGGGTTACTTCGGAAGCGTTTGAGGATGTGGAGAATGTAAAAGTTAAGACACAGGAGGTGTAATGTTGCTATTTCATGCACCTATTGTATATGGATTGATGTTTTTTTACACATCTTTTTTTGCCTAAGCTGTTTACATTTTTTGAGTAGCTTGCCCAACACTGGGGACTGAGAAGGGGTGAGTGGGTAGAAGAAGAAGAGAGGGAATAGGAGAACAGATAAAGAAAGAGAGGAGGTAGAAAGATATGGGAGACAAATAACTCTTGTTATGAACTTTATGATAAATGTTTTTTAACACCCAGTTGCACAGTTTAAAAAAAAAAAAAACCTTTTCTAGTCTGTCACAAATTTTGTGTCACAAATACTAGGATTTGTGAATTACTGTACCTGAAAGTACATAAAAACCCATTTAAAGCAAATGTCGTCCCAACTTGTCAAACA